TCAGTGTTGGTGGAGGCTGTTTGCATTTAGTGTCTTGACTGACTGCAGGTGTCACCTCTTTGCTTTTCGAACGGTCGCTGTAGCTGAGGCACCGGCACAGAGACCTGGAACTCTGTGTGTTTGTGTCTGTTTTTATTGCAGCCGGAGGAGGAGCCGAAAGAGGAAGCAGCCCCAGCCAAGCCTGTGGTAGGAATTATTTATCCTCCACCTGAGGTCAGGAATATTGTGGACAAGACTGCCAGCTTTGTTGCCAGGTAAATGATTTTTGTTGTTTTTTCTGTGCTTCTCCTTTTCGGTGCTCATCTCTGTGCAGCTCCAGAAGGGGGAGCAGGGCACAGTCCTGTGACTTTATGTCAAGAGTTTTAGGGATTGAATCTACACCCATAATACTGTGGGGAGAAAAACAACAGTATTCTACTTAAGAGGCATAACCAGGTAACAGGTCCTGTTTAGGATGATCTGAAGAAGAAATAAAACTCTGGGTAGGAAAGGAGCCTCGTTACGGACGCTCCGCTAAGCGCTGACTGTGTTTTACAGCGTGTGGGTGATTAATTTCCCAGTCCACAGGTGCTCGCTTGTGGAGTGAGCCCCGAGGTTGAGGCCTGTCCCTGTTTGAGCGGGGCTTGGTGAGCTGGCAGCGTCCCTTGCTCGCTCTCCCTTGATAGCTGGAGGGAGGGCTGCCCACCGCCACAGCGGGGAGCCTGATCGATGAGCTGTAGCTTGGGGGGGATTTTTTTTTTCCCGTTGACTGCAGCAGATGGATTAGCATGAGTAGGGATGTTAAATTCAGTGCAGGAGTCTAGAAGATGACTAAACCTCGCTCTTCCATTTGCCTGATGTCATCATTATACGAGTTAGCGCCATGTTAGCCATCTCCTTCTTTTTTTCTTTCTTTTTTGTCTGGCTGCCTTATTGGATCTTGGTCTAAGCCAGCATACAGGTAGCTCACCCCTTGGCGGCGTGCGTGGATTCTCAGCCTTCACGGCGTCACAGCAGGCTGCGCGCTTTCCCCTCGCCACGGCGGGGTCTCTGTTGCCTTGAGTTTTAGGTGATCACTAAAAGCTGCTCCTGTCAGAGGCGTTTATTGCATAACTGACCTCAGAAACACTGCCAAGGAGCCTTGGCTTCCTTTGAGGATAAGGAAGGGGCAGTGTTTATCTTCTGGTATTGTTGAGGCCTCCTCTTATGGAAGAGGTGGGGTGTCTAAGCAAGACCTGGAGGTACCCAGAGGGTTTGAAGAGAATCGTGCTGGGGCAGCACTTAATTTTCTTCAACTACCCTGAAATAAATGACTCCCACTTTGGGTGGGAGGAGTGGATGTTACCTCAACTAAAACTTAAATGCAGCGCTCAGGTGTGGTCAGTCTCCCTTCAGGCTGATTATTACCTTCTTTTTTTCCTTATGTGAATGTTCTGGAAATGAAACTAGTCTTAAAAGCTTGTTCGTTGGCTAAAGAAAATTGATCTAGTGAGTAGCTTGTAAACTTCATCCTGTAAACTATGGATCCAGTAACTGTGTGTAGCCAAATGAGATTGTGGAACGCTTGTGAGTGTCAGTTTTTATCTGCTTTAAGAAGTGCTCCCTATGAAGCATTCTAGACTACATCAGGAGGAATGCTTTTAATTTGTGTGCATGCAGCTGGCTGCTCCGTTGGGTGTGAGTTACTTAGAGGTAAATGCCCTCCACGGAGGAGAGAAGATTCTCTTCTGAGGGACCAGTACATCAGTGCTTCTTACAGTGAAAGAACCAGACATTTGTACTTGGGTCGATGCTTGCGAATCTCACGGTTTTATCTTTTTCCTCCCCAGGAATGGTCCGGAATTTGAAGCTCGAATTCGTCAGAACGAAATAAATAACCCCAAGTTCAACTTCTTGAACCCAAACGATCCTTACCATGCATACTACCGGCACAAGGTCAGCGAGTTCAAGGAGGGCAAAGCGCAGGAGCCGTCAGCTGCTATCCCCAAGGTTATGCAACAGCAGCAAAGCGCTCAGCAGCAGCTCCCGCAGAAGGTCAGTGTTCCTCTTCGCTGCAGTTGAGAGCTTGGCTTCTTGCTGGTCGTGGCACAGCCTGACCTTACGCAGGAGCTCTGAAAGGCAAGGCAGATGAAAGAGTTCGTTACATATTTGCACACCCTCCACCCCCCCCAAAAAAAAGCACTGGGAGGCTTGAAGTTGGGTGCCTGAGCCTTTGTTTGGATGTGGATGTGCACCCTGCGGTGGCTGGTAACTAAGTTGTGTGTGAAAAAGCCGATATATTGTTCTGCTTGGTCCTTTTTTTAATTATTCAGTTGTGTATTGAGTAAAACAGTGCTTACCCTTGTGATCGCTCGGGCTGTGTAAGTTTAAGACCGCTGCCCCAAGCAAGTCTTCAGAATCCCTTGGAGTTCAGGTTGCACGCCGCGTTTTGTCAAAGGGAAACCTCCCCTTTTTTTTTTTTAATTTTTTTTTTTTCCTGCTGGAAGGATCTGCTTCCCCTTTAAGTCTGGAGTACAAAACATTGTCAGTCTTATTTAGCTACACCTTTATACAAGCTGGGCACAGACTGAACCCGAGTCTTTTATGCACTGTGCACTGTCACGCTGTGCAGTGTTGCCTGGCCTGGACAATTACAGCAAAATCCTGACAGTTTCCAGTTTTGTTAGCCGCGGCAGCAACATCTGGTTTATCGTAGGACTATGTACAGATGTCTGATACGTCCTGTGGGACTAATTTTTCGCCTTGCAGCTGCCAGGATACCTAGGCTGATGTTACCATCCTGCAGCAGCTGAAGGAAAAACGGGCTCTTCCAAGCGTTTGGTGCGACAGTTTGTTTCTCCCATCGCTGAGCCACCTTTGCTCTCTGCAGGTTCAGGCCCAGGTGATCCAGGAGACAGTCGTTCCGAAAGAGCCGCCGCCGGAGTTCGAGTTCATCGCGGATCCTCCCTCCATCTCGGCCTTCGACTTGGACGTGGTGAAGCTCACGGCGCAGTTCGTGGCACGCAACGGGCGGCAGTTCTTGACTCAGCTGATGCAGAAAGAGCAGAGGAACTACCAGTTTGACTTCCTTCGCCCCCAGCACAGCCTCTTCAACTACTTCACTAAGCTGGTTGAACAGTACACAAAGGTACCCTCGGCGATTTACCCGTCAAGTTTATTCCTTTAGCAACAATATTGCTTTTTTTGAAGACTGAAGCTGCGCAAAGAGACTAGAAATACATGTGACCCTGGGAGTCCATCCTTTAAATCTCTCTCTTTAAGCAGAGTGGAGGTTGTGTGCCTTGATAGCAACGTGCTGGGCTGTTACTTAAGTGTACCAGACACTGTTGTGGTTTTTTTTTAATCCTTATTTTAATAGAAGTTGCAGGGTTTTTAAAATGTGGATGGTAGTTGGAAGGCCAAGAGTGAATATTTTTGAGTGCAAGCAATACGTAATAAGCGGGTTGCGATAGAATAAAGGGAACATGGCCCCAGGGGTCTGCTGATGTTTTTGTCGGTGTGGGAAGAGAGTAATTGCTCTTAAGGAGGCTTTGGCCAAAAAGAATTATCACTGACTGTCACGTAAAATGTGTTTCAGATCCTGATCCCGCCGAAAGGCTTACTCCTCAAGCTCAAGAAAGAGGCCGAAAATCCCAAGGAGGTCCTAGACCAGGTATCGCACGAAAAATTTACAAAATTGCTGAAGCTTTTCAGATGCAGGCTGGATTTTTTTTTTTCTCTTGATGTCTTCCTGACTTACTGGCAGCAAGTACAAACGTACAGAGAATGAAACGGAGACATGTCCCCTGTAGTCACTTGAATGTGGGCTACCCAAGCCTGCCCTTAAGCTGCTGACTGGTGTCCTGGGGGCAGTAGGTTCCTTGTGGCAGCGTAGAGACGTAAATACTGCACGATGCCGTTTCCAACCACTTTACAAAGTGGAATGTTTCCTTCTTGGACAGTCTCAGTGTGACACCTCGGTCACTTTTAATCCTTCTGAGGTTTTTTTTTTGTTACTTTGGCTTCTGTCTTAATCACAAAGACGGCTTTTGCTTTGGAAAGGTGATGTTACCGGGCTGTAAGAAAGTGTCTTGTGAATCTTCAGCCATCCCCAAATCATGTCGTACCTGGATGGCTTGGTCTTCACTCGAGAAGTCTGCAGTTCCAGCTTTAGAAAAGCGTTTTACCAGGCTGGGGCAGTGTACTGCTTGATAGGCAAAGGTGTAGTTTCTAAGTGAAATACAAATATTTCTTTGTCATGCAAGGCCTCTGAGGCAGTGCTTGTGTAACTGCCCTAAAAGGGTCAGTAGCGTGAGCTTTCGCCCCGTGTTTGTGTGTGACTTCGGTGAGTGCTTTACGTCTGCTCGTGCAGGTTTATTACCGAGTGGAGTGGGCCAAGTTCCAGGAGCGAGAGCGGAAGAAGGAAGAGGAGGAGAAGGAAAAGGAGCGCGTCGCTTACGCCCAGATTGATTGGCATGATTTTGTGGTGGTGGAAACAGTTGACTTTCAGCCCAACGAGCAAGGTACTGGAGTTGTAACGTCTGTAAAACACTGCTCACTTGGAGAGGGGATTATGTCCCAAAATGCTGTTTTGAGACAGACGTTGGGTTGTACAGCTGCGTCCCCTTCCGAGATAAAGGGGGAGGCCTTCTAGTGACAGTGTGTCGGGCTGGGTTATTTTCTGGAGTCAGTAGTGTTCTCCTTGCATGAGGTCCAGGACTGCACTACGTGTCTGCTTTTCCGCTTCCACCTGGAAGGAGAACTTGTCCTGCTTTCTAGTGGTGCTTTCACCCATGCGTGCCTCCATCTTCATGTGTCACGCTGACGTTGGTCAGTACAGACTCCATCCCCTCCCTTCTATAAACCTTGGCTTCCAGATTTTGATGCCGCTGCTTTGTAAAGAAACTTCATTTCGTTTGAGAAACTGATATTTCTGGCTGTGCCTTGAGCAACAAAATGAGATGGAGCTCTGTTTTCTGCATTGCAGGGAATTTTCCTCCTCCCACCACTCCGGAAGAGTTGGGAGCTCGAATCCTCATCCAGGAGCGTTATGAGAAATTTGGGGAAAGTGAGGAGGTAGAGATGGAGGTGGAGTCAGACGAGGAAGATGAAAAGCAAGAGAAAACTGATGAGCCCCCAGCCCAGCTGGATCAAGACACGCAGGTGCAGGATATGGATGAGGTAAGGAGCCAGTGGAATCTGCGTTACTTTGGTCCAGTAAAGTTGTTGTCTTTTGTGATGCGCTTTGTTTTCACTGTAAGAAGACTGCGAACAGACTAGTAGTTCTCTCAGTTTGTTGAGAAAATGAGATTGCCTTCTGATGGAATTTCAAAACGACCAGTTTCTGCTGGAATGCAGGAATTGGATATTTCTAATGTTTTCCACAACAACCCAATTTCCAAGAGAGGAACCCAGTGATTCTGTCACTCGATGATGTGGATTTTATTGTTCTATGATCGAGCCTTTTGGGCTTCTGCGCAGCATCTGGAACGCTGACAGATGACTCATTTGTAGGCTCTTGTCTGCCCTCTGTGTAAGCTGTTTTTCTGGTAACAGGAACAGGAGTGTAGTGAACTGTAAGCCCCTGTTTGCTGAGCTGTGGTAATGTGGAAGCTGAGGAGGACTTGCTTCCTCTTCTGCATCTGCTGGATTTCCGAATCCTGATTCTCCAGGGGGAGCGCTCTAGCACAGGTGTCGAGAGGCATAATAGCTCTGTTGCTTTGAAGCTTTATGATCGGTTCTTCCAGCGCTGCGTAGAATTTTTGTGCCTTTCTCAAAATCTTGTTTGTTGGTATTTGGCTACAGGAACTTAGTTATGATTTTTTTTTTTTTAATTATTATTTTTTTCTCCCCCTGAAATAAGGGCTCCGATGATGAAGATGAAAGTCAGAAGGTTCCTCCTCCTCCAGAAACCCCGATGCCACCACCTCTTCCTCCCACACCGGATCAGGTCATTGTGCGGAAAGATTACGATCCCAAAGGTGAATGAGGCTGGTGAAGAAAAGCTTTTATTTTTTCCTGAATAACGCCGAAAGCGTTTGGTTTCTAGGCTGCATCCTCTGATGTGTTTTTAACAGTGCGGTTTTGTTTTTCTAGCCTCAAAACCGTTGCCACCTGCTCCAGCTCCGGATGAGTATCTTGTTTCCCCCATCACTGGAGAGAAAATCCCTGCTAGTAAAATGCAGGAACACATGCGAATCGGCCTCCTGGACCCTCGATGGCTGGAGCAGCGGGATCGATCCATCCGGGAGAAGCAGAGCGATGACGAGGTCTATGCCCCAGGTCAGCTCCAACATCTCGGTTCCGAGTTCTTGGATGAGTTCTGTGAAACCTTAGCGCACCCCTTCCCTCCCCCTGGGTCGTGCTGCTAAGGACCATCTGAAATTTAGCTTTCCCTGTGGTGTCTTGGCGCTCATGGTGATTTTGTGAATACATTTGTCATTAGTATTTTGAAGCCTCTCTATAAACTTTAAACCAAAGAGCGTTAGGGACTGCCGGCCAGCCTTCAGTTGCAGCCTCTTTCTGAAAAGGGGGGCATCCAGCCACTGGATACCAAACAGATTAAACATCATTAGAAGAGGCTTGATCGTGGCTGATTATGACCCTTGAGATAAGAATTTCTCTTCTTGCCTGCAGGTTTGGATATTGAAAGCAGCTTGAAGCAGCTGGCAGAGCGCCGTACTGATATCTTCGGCGTGGAGGAGACTGCCATTGGTAAAAAGATCGGTGAAGAAGAAATCCAGAAACCAGAGGAAAAGGTAGAGTGGAAACTGTGGTGTGTTTTTTTTGTTATTTTTTTAACAGGCGTCTTTAGTTAAAATTGCTTGGAGAGACTAGAATCTTCTGAGCTTTGCTCTTCCTGCAGAGCTGCCCTCTTTAAGTTATTTGCAGCTCGTGCTGAGGTCTGGATAGGTCGAAGTTGCTCTGATTTATTTCTTCTCAGGTGACCTGGGACGGCCACTCGGGCAGCATGGCCCGCACACAGCAGGCTGCGCAGGCCAACATTACTCTCCAAGAGCAAATCGAAGCGATCCATAAAGCCAAGGGACTGGTGCCAGAAGATGACAGCAAGGAGAAGATCGGTCCCAGCAAACCCAACGAGATACCCCAGCCACCTCCTCCTTCGTCAGCGTCGAATCCCCCAGCGAGCGCCCAGCCCATCACATCGGTGCCTCGCCCCCCTACAGTGAGTGTTTGGGCTTCTCAAAGCAAATTGTGATGGCCGTGGCTAATCAGGAGGGAGTCGTGACGAAATATCAAGGGTTTTAACAGCACAGCACTGGTTTCTTTTGAGTGAAGTTCAGGTTTCCAGATGATTTACACCAGCAGAGGAACCCTCTTGAACTTGAAAGTGGAAAATAAGACTTGGGTGGAGCTTATCATCCTCTGAGGTACCAAAAAGACTCGCTCAGCTGGGCAGAGGAGGAACCTGGGCGGTGAGATTTGGAAGAAGGGAATAGGGCTGACAAAGGAATGGGTGGGGGCTTTTTTTTCAGGTGCAAAAAAGCATGATGCCTTAACAAAAGTAGGTTTACACATGACTCACTTGCCCTGTGTTCCTGCCCCGAGGGTTCTGCTGACTCTGAAATAGCTCCTCCTCTGAGATTGCTCCCTGGCTTGTGGTCTGATACCTGAGCTGTAACGGAGGAAGAACCATTTAATCTGTTAATGAGGCTTCTGCGCCTTTATGGGCAGCTTGGGCTGGCCAGATGGGTGGGCTCGCTGCGCTTCCGAGTCTTTGGCCAGCACCAGTCCTCTGTGTGTCGCCCTGGTTATTTATTCGGGATTGCCACCAGTGCTGAGCGTTGCCCCTGCTGACAAAACTGACT